AATCCCTCTCATATAATTATAACATATCCTATTGATTCTGTCTCTCTGGAGAACCCTGACTCATACACCACTCTTAGCTTGAGGCAAACCCTCATTTCATGATCTCTACTGCTACTAATCCTATTGTTTCATTTGCACGACATGCCCTTCCAGGCTGGACTCCTACTCTCTTCTACAGATGAGGAAACTCAGGCGTAGGGAGGTGAAAGCATTTGTCTTTAATCCCTGGGCCTGCAAGCAGCAAAGGTGGGATTTGGGCCCTGGTTTGCTAACACCACAAGACACAGGGAGCTGCTAAGTCAGCTTCCACACGGCCCCCAGAACATACCATGTTTTTTCCCCACCTCCAAACCTTTGTGCGTGCCATACTTCTGCTGAGAATGCCCTCACCTCCCTTAATCAGTCCATCCAAATTCATGCCCATTCCCCTAGGTTGGGGTCATGCCAGCACCTCCTCTAGGACCCCTTCCTGGGCCTCTTCTCCAGCACCTCACTCTGCACCATATCATTTCCTGGGCTTGGACCACAGTGTCTAATCCTCCCACAGAGATCAAAAGCCTGAGGGTGGCCTCTATGCTGCAGATTTCTTCCCCACCTTCACGGCTCTTCATTCACCAGAACAGCCTGTTAGAAAGTGGCCACTAACTGTTGGGTATTAGACCAGATCTGGGTTCAAACACTAGCTTGGCGACTTGCCATTGTGTGACCTGAGATGAGTTACTTAACTTCTGAGCCTCAGTTTTTCCATCTGTACAAGAAGATAATCATACTCATGATACACATTGTCAGCACCCTACCCAACACTCAAGTACAAGCCAGTGGCGTGTCCAGTGGTGTCCTACTGTGTGAGAATTTTCTCTCCACCATTGAGCCTGGTACCAGCCAGGATATAAGAACCTGAATTTTAATAACCCCTGAAACAGCTTCGGGCACGGACAGAAGGAATTGGAAAATACATACTCCAGGTCCCTTGCCCTTTGGACAGAACTCAAGAAATGTTCTATGCTGCTTCCTAGGGGTCCCTCATGAGACGGAGCCTCAGTTGCCC